CCTGTAGTCCCAGCCTACTCGGGAGCTGAAGGCAGGAGAATGGCGCCAAACCCGGGAGGTGGGGAGCTTGGAGGTGGACGTTGCAGTGTGTGAAGATTCCGGCCAACTGCCACTACTCTAGCTGCCTGGGCGACAGCGCGAAACTCCCTCTCAAAAAAAAAAAAAAAAAGAAAAGAAAAAAGCACTGAGGCAATAAGAAAAAGTTGAAGAAGAACCATGCTAGGCCAAACAAAATTGTAATTGTTATTATATTATTATTATTATTATTATTATTATTATTATTTTGGACAGAGTTCTTTGCTCTGCGGCGGCCCAGGTTAGAGTGCAGGGGTGGCGATCTGGGGCTCACTGCAGCTGTTCTGTCTCTCAGGTTCAAGCAGTTTCTCCTGCCTCGGCTCCCCGAGTAGCTGGGACTAACAGCATGTGCCCACCACACTTGGCTTAAATTCTTTTTGCATTTTTTTTTTTTTTTTTTTGAAAGACCGGAGTCTCGGCTCTGTCGCCCGGGCCTGGAGCTGCCACGTAGCCGGATCTTCAGCCCACTTGCAAGCTCGTCCCGGGTTTAAGGCCATTCTCCTGCCTCAGCCTCCCGGAGTAACTTGGGGAAACTACAGGCCGCCCGCAATTCCACCTGGCTAAGGATTTTTGTTTTGTTTTTGTTTTGTTTTGTTTTAGATGGAGTCTCAGCCTCTGTCGCCGAGACTTGGATTGGCAGTGCCGATCTAGCTCACTGCAAGCTCGCCTCCCGGGTTTACGGCCATTCTCCTGCCTCAGCCTACCCGAGTAGCCTGGGACTCAGACGCTGCCACCTCGCCGGCGTATTTGTTTTGTATTATTTTATATTAGAGACGGGGTTTCACCGGGATTAGCCAGGATGGTCTTGATCTCCTGACCTCGTGATCCGCCCGTCTCGGTGCCCATTCCCAAAGTTGCTGGGATTATCACAGGCTTGAGCCACCGGCCGCCTAATCTTTGCATTTTAGTAGAGATGAGGGTTTTGCTATTGTTGGCTCAAACTCTGACTCCTGAGTTCGAGTGATCTGCCTGCCTCAGCCTCCCAAAGTGCTGGGATTACAGGTGTGAGCCACCAAGCCCAGCCCAAACAAAATTATTAATCACCCACCATATATATATATATATATATAAAAGTGTGTGTGTATACATAAAATAATATATATATTTAATCACTCACCATATATATGTGTGTGTGTATATATATGTGTGTGTATATATATGGCACTCATCTCCTTCTTCCTGTCCTTGCAGACAGCTGGTTCCTCCACCCAGAATGCCCTCCCCTTTATCCCTTTATTGCAAATGTCCACCAAAGGACAGCCAAACCCTGCCACTTCTTCCTGATCCCTTCAGCAGGAGATTGACCCTGCCTCCTCATGGAGTAAAAGGGCAAGTCACCCTTCTCTTTCAGCATTTCTTTCTTTTTGTGTTATCTGGTGATGTCTCTGTATTTGTCTTCGACCTCCAATGGACTGCAAACTCTTTGGGACAGGTTGTAGAAGAGATTCTTTTTCTTTTAATTTAAATTTAAAATTTGTTTTTCCTTAAAACAATTTTTTTTTTGCACTGGCAATTATGTAGAACAATTATGTGAGATTCATTTTGCAACCTCTACTGTGCCTGGCAGAGGCTTGAAGCTCAGTCCGAATTTGTCAAATGAATGAATGATCCCTATTGGCTGCTGGGTGGGGCACCTTGGGGGTCACCTTTGCCCAAGGTCAGACTCCTCCTAATGCCTGGTCAGCCCTTGTACCTGCCTGCCTTCCCTGTTAGTCTGTGATTGGGACCTTTGCCTGCTCCCAGACAGAAGGCTCCTTGAGGCAGCAGCTGGTCCCCTTCCCCCAGCATCCACACGAGCCTCACAGGGAGGGCCAGGCACAGCTGGGCACTGCCCCCCTTGGGGAGCTGCAGTGCTGGATGGGGCTTTCGCAGCTGGGGCGGGAGAAAGCCTTACAGAGCCGAGCTGCATGATGGCGTTCACGTAGTTCTCATCTTTCTCCACCTTCTTCCGGAAACGGATGGTCTGCTCCAGCTCCAGGGGGTTCACGTCCTTGGGCCAGCCCCCCTCGACATGGTTAACTCCCCGGGTCTCCATCTCAAACCGCTCTGTGTTGGCCTAAACAGAGAGCCACAGAAGGGAAGAGGTCACCCTGGTATACTCCCAAACCCTCGGCCGCTTCTGCAATCCAGGTCCCATGCGGGCTCCCAGGGCTGGATGCTGAGGCGCCCTGGCCAAGGCCACAGTATTTTCAGATGCAGGCGAGGAAATTCCTGGTGCTCAGGTGGGCACAGGTAGCTGCAACAGCGCAACCCTGTGAAGCTAAGCAGCTTTGCAACTGGTAGCTGTGGTCATGAAAATCCAGTTTTGACCTTATCTGAATCCTAATGGACCGGAGAAGCCTGTCCATCTGCTCTGTGAGAATCCAAAGAAAAGGTGAATAATTGGCCAGGCGCAGTGGCTCACGCCTGTAATCCCAGCACTTTGGGAGGCTGAAGCGAGCAGATCACGAGGTCAGGAGATGGAGACCATCCTGGCTAACACGGTGAAACCCTGTCTGTACTAAAAATACAAAACATTAGCCAGGCGTGGTTGTGGGCACCTGTAGTCTAGCTACTCGGGAGGCTGAAGTAGAAGAATCACTTGAACCCGGGAGGCAGAGGTTGCAGTGAGCCGAGATCACACCACCGCACTCCAGCCTGGGCGACAGAGCGAGACTCCATCTCAAAAAACAAAAAAAAAGAAAAGAAAAAGTGAATAGTCTTTCTTTACTCTATCATTAACAATGCCACCCTATCATTGACAATGTCAGTGTCACAGAAATTGAACGTTAAAACTCCGAGTTTGGATTTGCTTTGCCTGTCCTTTGTAGCAGGGAGGACAGTTTTACACATGGGTCTCGCCACTTTCCCTTCTTTCCTTTTTCTTTTTTTTTAAAGACAGGGTCTCTCACTCTGTTGCCCAGGCTGGAGTGCAGTGGCATGATCTCAACTCACTACAGCCTTTTTTTTTTTTTGAAACAGAGTTTCACTCTTGTTGCCCAGGCTGGCGTGCAATGGTACAATCTCGGCTCACTGCAACCTTCGCCTCCCAGATTCAAGTGATTCTCCTGCTTCAGCCTCCTCAGTAGCTTGAATTACAGGTGCTCACCATCATAGCCAGCTAATTTTTGTATTTTAAGTAGAGATGGGGTCTTACCATGTTGGCCAGGTTGGTCTCGAACTCCTGACCTCAGGTGATCCACTGGCCTCGGTCTCTGGAAGTGCTGGGATTACAGGCATGAGCCACTGCACCTGCCTCAGCCTCACAAATAGCTGGGACTACAGGCGTGTACCACCACACGTGGCTAATTTTTGTTTTTGTTTTTCTTCTGCAGAGACGGTGTTTTACCATGTTGCCCAGGCTGGTCTCAAACTCCTGAGCTGAAGTGATCCTCCTGCCTCTGCCTTCTTTTCACTTTATTTTTAAAAATTATTTATTTATTTATTTATTTATTTATTTATTTTTAGAGACAGGGTCTTGCTCTGTTTCCCAAGCTGGAGTGCAGTGGTGCGATCACAACTCACTGCTGCTGTGAACTCCAGGGCTTAAGCAATCCTCCCGCCTCCACCTCCCAAGTAACTGGGACCACAGGTGCGAGCCACCACAACTGGCAAATTTAAAAAAAAAAAAGGGTAGAAATGAAGTCTCACTATGTTGCCCAGGTTGGTCTCAAATTCATGGCCTCAAGCATCCTTCCACCTTGGTCTCCCAAAGTACTGGGATTACAGGCCTGAGCCAGCACGCCCAGCCCTTCCTATTTTTAAGAAACTGTGGGTAAAATACATGTAACATAAAATGTACCACGTAACCATTTTAAAGCGTACACTGCAGCAGTGTTATCATACACAGTGCTGTGCAACCATCAACCCCACCTCGTTCCAAAACTCTCACATCACCCAGAATGGAAACCCCATCCTCGTGAAGTCACTCCCATCTCCTTTCCATTTTTAAGCCAGCTCTCACAAAAGGCAAAAGTCTGGATCAGCACCATAGGAAAGGTTAAAAGAAAAAAAAATCTGGAAAAGGCAGAGCTGCTGGAAAGGACAGGAGGGCCCCCCAGGGTGTGGCCCACATGGCAGCCATTCTGCTTATTGGCTACACCACGGCCACAGGCCTTCTCATCCCCGAGACAGCAGCTGGTCCTGGGAGAGAAGCACCTACTTCATCTGGACTGTGAGTCACTGAAACCACCCACACCCACCTGACTGTTGGACGTGTTTTGGCCAAATCAAGTGATTTGGTTACCGTTTTATCTCAGCAGTTGTCGACCTAATTAGGGTGAATCACTTAGTCCACAGAGACAGGGAACTCTCTGGCTTCTGAACACATGACCACGACCCTCCAGGTAAGTTCTCTTATCATGGAGGTCCCTCTGGCCGGAACTTTCTGTGGGACACTTCCCTTTTCTCAAGCTGGGTAGTTGCCTGTAGATATGAACCTCTGCTCCCTCAGAATATCTCTCCCAGGCTGGGCACAGTGGCTCATGCCTGTATTCCCAGCACTTTGGGAGGCCAAGGCGGGAGGACTACTTGGGCCCAGGAGCTTGAGACCAACCTGGGCAACATGGCAAAACCTCGTCTCTACAAGAATTACAAAAATTAGCCGGGCACGGTGGTGCACACCTGTAGTCCCAGTTTCCAGGGAGGCTGAGGTGGGAGGATCTATTGAATTCGGGAGGCGGAGGTTGCAGTGAGTCGAGATTGTGCCACTGCACTCCTGGAAGACAGAGTGAGACCCTGTTTAAAAAATATATATATCTCCCAGCTACACCAAATATCCAAAACAACTCTGGTAAGTGTCTTCGAGGTGAAACAAGAGCTCTTGGGAGAGGGAACATTGTGATTTGCCCTCCCCTGGCTTGAGGAAGGCTGGTGCTGGGTCTTCTTCTGATCCTGGGCACTGCGTGGAACTCAGGAGGAGCCTCTAGCCTCACTTCCAGCTTCTCTACTTGGTCCACTCTAACTGGCTTTCAGGTGGACAAGGACCCCCAGAACCACTCACCTGCCCCAGCTGGCCGCCCTGCCTGGCCACACCTCACAGGCCGGGGCCCTTGGGGCAGGGACCCACCTCATGTTCCGACATGCTGACCGAACACTGGATGCCCGTGTCCACTGGGTTCCGCTCCACGAACTGCTCGGCCAGCTCAGGGTTGGGCATGATGTCGATGTTCAGCTCAGCCTGGCGGTCCGAGAAATTGCACTGCTTCCCGAACTCGCTGCGCTTCTTGACGTACACGTACACAATCTCCATGGTGCCGGCTGCTGGGGGGAAGAGGGAGGGTGTGGGTGAGGGACCCCACTGGCCCCTTTCCCATCTCCACAGGTCCCACCGGGACAGCTCCAGGTTCTCAATCTGGTTGGGGCAGGAAGCAAGGGGTGCTAGGGAGATCCTAGGAATTTGTCCAGAACCTGCATCTGCATTTTAAAAAATCCCAAGTGCCAACTATATGCTAAGCATTACCCTATTTAGCTCGTGCAATTGTTCTCTGAGGAAGGCAATAAAAATCATCATTTCGGCCAGGCAAGGTGGCTCACGACTATAATCCCAGAACGTTGGGAGGCCAAGGCAGGTGGATCACCCGAGGTCAGGATTTCAAGACCAGCCTGGCCAACATGGTGAAACCCCATCTCTACAAAAATACAAAAATTAGCTGGGCATGGTGGCTCACACCTGTAATTTCAGCTACTCAGGAAGCTGAGGTGGGAGAATCACTTGAACCTGGGAGGAGACGGTTGCAGTGAGCTGAGATTATGCCATTGCACTCCAGCCTGGGTGACAGAGCAAGACTCCATCTCAAAAAAAAAAAAAAAAAAATCACCATATTATTTGAGGGCGTTTGATGCTTAGATGCCCTCAGTGACTTGCCCAGGGCCCTATAGCTAATACATGCTGCAGCTGGCCTAAGCCGATTCCAAAACTCTTACCCACCAAATGATACAGTCTTTGTCTTTTGTTTTTAGGTTTTTTTCTTTTTTTTTTCTTTTTTTTTTTTTTTTAGACAAAGGCTCGTTCTGTCACCCAGGCTGGAGGGCAGTGGTGTGCTCACAGCTCACTGCAGCCTCAACCCCTGGGCTCAAGTGATCTCCCACCTCAGCCTCCCAAGTAGCTGGGACCACAGGTGTGCAGCACCATACCTGGCTAAGTTTTGTATTGTTTTGTAGAGATGGGGTCTCGCCATTTTGCCCAGACTGGTCTTGAACTTCTGGGCTCAAGTGATCCATCTGCCTCAGCCTCCCAAAGTGCTGGGATTATAGGTATGAGCCACTGCACCCGGCACAATACGGTTTTCACTGAATCAGTGTTTACTGATAGGCAGGAGGAAATATTGATGGTGATGACGTTGGACTAAACTCCCTGCCATGCTGGGCATGAAACACACAGGATGGATTTGAGACCCCTAGGCCCCTTCTTGAACCCTTCCTCCCCAACCCAATGGCCCAACTCCCCACCCAATTGTCCAAAAGGCTCATTGGTTGCCAGACTCTGGCCTCTACCACTCTCTGGGCACCACCCTGGAAATCTCTTCCCTCCAACCAGGACAGAGCTGAGAGTCGACCCCAGACAGAGAGAAAGCCAAGAGCTTCCCCAACAGGCGGGACACGGAGGCCTTTGGGAAAGCCTCTGACATGTGCTGCTGGCCATGGGGCACAGCAGGGAATTGGGAAGTGGGCTGGGCTGGGCCCTGCCTTCAAGTTCTGGGCCTGCCGTCACCAGCTGCGTGACCTGGGCGGAGCCACTTAGTCCGTCCGAGACCTGACACACCCACAGAATGCTGAGAAGTGAAATAAAAGTGCTCCAGTGGCGTCAGAGGTGGGGTTCACAGGCCATGCAAGAAGGGTTTCTCACTGATGCCAATTAAAGGTTGTAAAAATGCAATGGGCTGGGCCATTTCCACATATTGCCCTTGACCTTTCTGACTCCCCCATGACATCACTAGACCCCACTGGGTCTGAAGGCTTGCTCAGTGAGTTCAATGGCTGGCCCTTTGACCTGTGTGCCTGTCACCATGGAGTTAGCCAGAGATGTCCATTTGCTGGCCACCTGGGCTTTCAGAAATTGTGCCTTTGATAGCAAGTTCCCAGGGGCTCAGATTGTGGGTCCGTGCAAGGCTCCTGGGGTTGCACAGAGGCCTAGGACAAAAGATGTGGATGAGTGGCTGGTGCTGGTGTGGGGAAGATAAACTGAAGGAGAGCTTGCCTTGGTAGATGTACAACCAAAGGCCTTTCAACGCCCAAGAGATTAGGTGAGCAGGCCAGGCATTGTGGCTCATGCCTATAATCCCAGAACTTTGGACGGCCGAGGCCGGTGGATCACTTGAGGTCAGGAGTTCAAGATCAACCTGGCCAACATGGCAAAAACTTACCTCTCCTAAAAATACAAAAATTAGCCAGGCGTGGTGGCGTGTGCCTGTAATCCCAGCTACTCAGGAGGCTGACGTAGGGGAATCGCTTAAACCCGGGAGGTGGAGGTTGCAGTGAGCCGAGATTATGCCACTGCACTCCAGCCTGGATGACAGAGTGAGAATCCATCTCAAAAAAAAAAATTACATGACTGTAATCCCAACACTCTGGGAGGCCGAGGCGGGTGGATCACGAGGTCAGGAGATTGAGACTGAGGTCAGGAGATTGAGACCATCCTCACCACAGAGGTGAGGGTCTCGCTACATTGCCCAGGCTTGTCTCAAATTCCTGGGCTCAAGTGATCCTCCTGCCTCAGCCTCCCAAAGTGCTGGGATTACAGGCACGAGCCCATTTTCAAGATGAAGAAACTGAGGCCTGGAGAGATGAAGTATTAATACAGCATCTAAGGTCACAGTTCTTCAGTTCAGGCAGAACCACCAGGCATGTCTGGCTCTAAAGCAGTGATCGTTAGTCCTGACTGCACATTTAGAAACACCTGGAGGGCTTTATGAAATCACAATGCTGAGTTTGAACCCCAGAAAAACTACATCAGAATCTCTCATCAGTATTTTTTTTTTCTTTTTAATTCTCCAGGCAATTCTATGTGTAGCCAAGTTTAAGGACCACTGATTTAAAGTCAGGGACCTTAATCTCTCAACCAGCGTTTCTCAAACCTGGGATCTTCCTTAAAAATATACAGACTCCCAGGCCTCTCTCTTGCAAATGCTGAACTGGATGCCTGGGGCAGGGTCTAGCATCGTGTTTTTCACAGTCACCCTAGATGAACATGATTACCAGACCTGTGTCTAACCTACCTTCTCTCGCCTCCAGGGCTACAAAGAACCAGACCAGTGGGCCCTGGCCACTGGCCCCTGAGAGGCAGGGCAGGAGCTGTGTGCCCCTAGAAGCACGTGCCAGGGGAAACTTGGACCCTGGAGGAGTGGGGCAGCAGGTGGGGAGAAGGAGGGTAGGAAGGTTAACCATTTGCATCCATATACATTGTTCCTTGAAGACAGTACCATCCCCATCCCACTCCTAGCCCTGGAGCAACTCAACCTCAACCAGACTGTTGCAGAAAGTGGTTTTTGGTTTTTTGTTTGTTTTTGAGATGGAGTCTCGCTCTGTTGTCCAGACTGAAGTGCAGTGGCCTGATCTAGGCTCACGGCAAACTCCGTCTCCCGGGTTCAACCGATTCTCCTGCCTCAGCCTCCCATAGCTGGAATTATAGGTGCATGCCACCATTTCCGGCTGATTTTTGTATTTGTAGTAGAGACAGGGTTTCACCATGTTGGCCAGGCTGGTTTCAAACTCCTGACCTCAAGTGGTTCACCCGCCTCGGCCTCACAAAGTGCTGGGATTGCAGGCGTGAGCCACTGCGCCCGGCCTTGTTTTCTTTCCTTTCTTGTAGTTTGGAAATTCTCTTTCCTGGGTGGAAGCAATGGCTTAGAGGGCACAGGGTGGGATGAGAAGCCCAGATTGTATCAGGGGTGCCCCAATGTGTTTATCCCACGTGGACAAAGCTAGGGCCTTGTGAAAAAGCATGGGAATCCCGTGGCATCCTCCCCTTTGCCAACGCAGTGTGAAGCACCTGTGCCTCCCACATGGGGCTGCAGGACTCAGGCAGTTAGGGCTGCCTGTCTCTGTCTTTTCAAAGACAATTGCTGCAAGCCAGCTGGCTCCTAGGGGACACAAGGAGGCTGAAGAGAATGAGGAAACTCCAGGAAGACAGAAATAGCCTCTTTAGCCCAGATCAGACTTTTAACAGCTTTGCTTTCCTTCTTGGTGCTTCCCAAGGCCAAGTCCCGAGCGAGAACAGAAGCATTGTCTTGTGTCTGGAGGCAGACAGAGGGGACATTTAAAGACTGGCCCGGTGACGGGAAGACAACCCATTCAAGGACCCAGAGCAAGCTCTTTCTCATAAGCTGGCAGGGTACGCAGATGAATAGCGAGGTCAGCAGAGGGCGTCTCAGGAGGTCTCCCCCAACCTCTTGTGAGACAAGTGCTAGAGGGTCGGCTTCCCCAAGCAAGGCCCGAGTAGGGGTGTCTGCATGGGGGGACAGAGCGGGGACAGGAGCAGTGTCACTGCCCTCTGGGAGTTTTGGGGGAAGATTCTCCCCCCATGGGAACCTAGAGTCCCAGAGGTGTGCAGGACACCACCGTGAGTCTCAAACACAGGAACACGCAGAATCAGGGACGCTGTGGTCCCGATATCAAAGATTCAGGCATCTCCCGCATCCCCAGGGAGGCAGTCAGATGGGAACCTTTGCTGACTATAAAAACAAAACTTGCCTTGTGCAGTGCGAATGAGCAAAGTAATTCCTGGAGAGAACCTCTGGTGGCTTAAGGGAAAGTGTGTTTTCCAGGCCGGGAGGGAGGCCAAGGGAGCTATGGGGAGGAGGAGTGTCAGCGTGGGAGACTGGGAAGGAGGCAAGCTGGAAGGTCAGCCCTCCGCATTGAACTCCCTAGTGGAATAAGGAGATGAGAACATTTTCCTCTTCTTCTTGGTCCCTGACGCAGCCCCTACTGGGTTCCCGCGACTGGTGGGCCTGCATGGCACCTGGCAGGAGAGGGCTTCCTTCCCTCTTTCTTTGTTGTTGTTGTTTTTGAGACAGTCTTGCTCTGTCACCCAGGCTGGAGTGCAATGGTGTGATCTTGGCTCACTCCAACCTCTGCCTCCCAAGTTCAAGTGATTCTTGTGCCTCAGTCTCCCGAGTAGCTGAGATTACTGGTGCATGCCATCACACCCAGCTAATTTTTTTTTTTTTTTTTTTTTTTTTGAGACGGAGTCTCACTCTGTCACCCAGGCTGGAGTGCAGTGGCCTGATCTCAGCTCACTGCAACCTCCGCCTCCCAGGTTCAAGCAATTCTCCTGCCTCCACCTGCCACGTAGCTGGGACTATAGACGTAAGCCACCACACCTGGCCAGAATTTTTGTATTTTTAGTAGAGATGGTGTTTCACCATGTTGGTCAGGCTGGTCTCAAACTCCTGACCTCAAGTGATCCATCTGCCTGGGCCTCTCAAAGCACTGGGATTACAGGCGTGAAAACCGCACCCGGCTTTCCCTCCCTTTCTTATGGCCTTGTGCACTTTCTGGAATTCCAGGGTCCTGAGGGACTCACGGTACCCTCAAAAGAGGCAGACCTCCCTAGAAAGCCCCCATTTGTTTTCTCCCAGGGTAACACTAAGCATGGCTGAGCACCCCAAGGAAGGTGAAGGCTGAGGGCAGGACAAGGTGGGAAGAGGTCCTCAGAATTGGAGAGCGATGGGAGTCAGTGTCTACCCGCCCTCACCACTACCTTGTGGTCTCCTTGACGGAAAGACTGTGGTCTTTTATTCACTCCAGTCCCCAGGGCCTGGCACACAGAAGGGGCCCAAGACTCCTGTCACCTTCTGCGTTAGTGACTGTGGTAACAGCGTGTACCAGGCTTCTCTCTACAGCTCTCTCCCCTGTTCCTTCTCTGCTGACCGTGACAAACAAGCAAAGAGGATTCGAAAGGAAAACACGTAGGGTCTGAAAGCTGGGAGAAGACGCACTTCTGTGGTTCAAGAGAATGTGGTACACCTTGATCTTGAACAGAAAGGAGGAACCGCACACGCTCTGGAGGAACTCTGCGGACTGACCTCGATCACACGAGAACGCCAGCTCCAAGGTTGAGGAAGAAATGAAAGAAAGCACTTAAAACACCTGCCACCTAGCAGGTGTGCAATACTGTTAATTTACGTCCCTCTATCCTGAGCAGAAAGCTCTCCTCTTAAAGGGCCCATCTTCCCATCACCCTAGCCCAAGGCTGTTTTTTTCCATCCATTCTGCTGTAAATCCTTCAGAGGTCTCCAGTCCACTCCAGGACACGGACTGTATCAGGACCTGGGCGGGTAGGAGGGTATGAGGCAGGGTGTTCAGAGGCTGCAGGGTCCTGCGACTTGGGGCGGATCCAGGGCAGCGAGGATTAAGGGGACAGAGAGCACTAGGAGCGCTAGTCCTGACAGCCACCATCCGGCAGAGCTATCCCAGAAGGAAGCCCCCCAAGGGGAATTTTTGGCCCTCTTGGTGATTATTACCCTAGAAGTCTCTCCCTGTCACTCTCCACTCTAGTCTTTAGCCTCCGACGTCCTCCTGGCGCCCGCCCCTTACCCTGGGTCCGCTCCTCCTGCTTCTGGGTCTCTGGGAAAGCGCCCAATCCACGGTCCCCGCTCTAGTGCTTCTCAAACGGCGGCGTTTACCGGTTGCTTGGCAACCCGGCCTGGCTCCGGACTCGCGGGGCAACGCGGAAGGACCCCGGACCACGTGACTTCCGTTCTGCCACGTCGGAAGCGCCGGCCGTCCGTCCGTCTTCTTTTTGGAGGCCTCTGGAGTTAGGAGAAGAATTAACCAATAAGTTGGTAACATACCAGTAATGATCATGAACATTTGTAGGAGCGTTGCCAAAGCGCTTATCCAAACCTACGTTTGTATGCATTTGCATCGAGCAAGGTACCCAGAAAATGCAAGTAAGAATAGTCAGTGCTTGGGAAGCCCTGGTCCCTGGGTGGTAATGGCGGGCTCTGCTTACGATCTTGGCCGAGTGTGTTGTTATGCCTTCCTTCAGTTTCCGCATCCATTCAGTGGGAAGTATAACCGCGCCCCGCCCCCCCCCCACCCCCACCGCTACCATCCTTCCTGCACTGTATGTAACAAACACACCTTCCTGCACCACCAGAATGGAAACTCCTTGGGAGTAGAAGCTAGGGATTTTTACAGCTTAGCTGGGTGGTTGGCACGAAATGTACTAGGTTCATTGAATGAATGGATGGATGGATGAATGAATGAAACGAGTCATGTTTCTCAGGGAGTTAAGGCAATTGAGATCATGTAAATTAAAATAAGGGAATTTGGGGCTAGAAAAAAATGAATTTGAATCCCAGTTTGGCTACCTACTAATCTCATGACCCCGGACAAATTCCTTTCCTTTTCTAAGACTCAGCTATCCTCATCCGCAAAGTGGCAGGACAGTGGCGGTGCTTATTAGATAATGGGGAGGATTAAGTGAGAGACAACACAGGGGCGTGTCCAGCCCCGTCCAGAGCTACTGGTGCCTGAATGAAGGCAGCTCGGGGAATGAGGTTATCCGGAGTTCAGACGCTGACATTGGAAATTTGGATTGGGACAGAAGAGGAGTGCGTCATCCAAGAAGTGGGATTGGGGTTGGAACTGGGCCTTGAAAAATGGTTATGAGTTGCAGGGAAGAGGAGTGGGGAGGGCGTTCCAGATTGGGGGAGGGCATGGCTTGAGCAAAGAAGGAAGGGGCAGCCGTCATGGAAGAAAGGCATTTTGCGAGGATGGTGGGTGGATCAGTCTGGCTGGGGTCGAGAGTCCCTGCAGGGGAAAAATGAGAGAGGAATTTGCAAAGGTCAGCCGGGGCCAGTGTGGGGGGGGTCCCAAGAGAGGCAGGCTGAGGGGCCCAGACAGCTTTCCATGGGAAGCCCTCAGCGGGTTTGGGATCTGTGAAAGAACAGGCAGGAAGCAAACATTTCTCTCCCACTTCCGAACTTCTCCATAAATGTGTGGTCACCACTACCCACCTGCCTTTAGTGGGGCAGGTACAAGGAAATTCCCAGTGAGACAGCACCTTGCAAGGCCACACTAACGAAAGACAAGCCCCTAAATGACTGCTGCCACCAATCTCTCCTGATCTGTTCTGGCTCCCACCAGTTTCTTGGGACAAAGAACTCTTAGGGGTGGGTGCTGAGGGTCTTGACAGGGGCTGGGTGGTGGAGCTCCTAAAAGCCCCACTGAAATGACTTTGTGTGGTCAGAGGTGAATCAGACCCAAAGTCTCCAAGAGTAGGAAACGATCCACTCCATGATGAGGCAGTGGCTGGCTGGGGTTGCAATCATAATGCAACCCTTTCCACTCCACCTCCAGCCCTGGGGAGTCGAGGGCTTTCTGAAGACCCTTTATTTTGTGGGTGGAAAAATGGGTTAGAAGGGGAAACAGGAAAAGTTGAACGGAAACTGCAGCCACCTTCACCATATTATCCAACAATTTAGTATAGGCTCCCCACCCCCACCCTCACCCAGAAGGCTGCAGGCCACCGACCACAGAGGGCAGCTCTGTTCACTGGCCAAACAGTCACCCCTTGGCAGGCCTGCCTCAGCATGAGGTCATATAGTTAGGAGTATTCACAAGGACCTGGTTTGAAAACAATTGCGGTGCCTCTCAGATCTTCACCCAATCACAGTATAATTGGCAACAGAAATTCTTTACTGAGAGCCACCCCTGGCCCTGGACATCCCCAGGCACTGCCACAACCCATTGCACTGCTGTGTCCCCTTTAGTCCCACCAATCTCTCCTGATCTGTTCTGGCTCCCACCAGTTTCTTGGTGTGTGTGGTGAACTACACATAAAATTGTGTGTGTGTGGTGAACTATGCATAAAATTTACCATCTTAACCATTTTTTAGTGTATAGTTCAGTGGTATTAAGTTGATTCTTTTTGGTCTCGCTCTGTCACCCAGGCTGGGGTACAGTGGTATAATCATGGCTCACTGCAGCTTCGACCTCCAGGACTCAAGAGAGCCTCCCTCCTCAGCCTCCCACGTAGCTGGCAACACAGCTGCACATACCCATGCTCGGCTAATTTTTTTCATTTTTTGTAGCCACAGTGAAGAGGCAGGACTTGATTCTGGAGGCAGAGCTCAGACACCAGACCAGACTGAGGACTAGCTAAAACAGGAAACAGGCAGAAGCAGCTCTCCGTAAGACACATACACCAGTGTGCCCTGTCAGTTTACCATTGCCATGGCAACACCTGGAAGTTATCCGTTCCTTCCATGGCAATGACCCAATGACCTGAAAGTTACCACCCTTTTTCTAGAAATGTCTGCATGATCCACCTGTTAATTTGCATGTAATTAAAAATGGACATAAATATGACTGCAAAACTGCTTCTGAGCTGCTAGTCTCTGCACACTGCCTACGGGTAGCCTTGCTCTGCAGCAGCAGTCATGAGCTGTAGCACTGTCACCTCAGTCAAGCAGTGTTCCTCTACCACCGGCTCACCCTTGAATTCTTTCCTGGGCAAAGCCAAGAACCCTCCTGGACCAAGCCTCAATTTGGGCCTTGCCTGCCCTGCGTCATCCCTATGTTGCCCAAGCTGGTCTCCAACTCCTAGGCTCAAGCGATCCTCCTGCCTTGGCCTCCCAAAGTGCTGGGATTACAGGTGTGAGCCACTGCACCCAGCCTATGTTTTACCTTTCTTTTCTTTTTTTTTTTTTTTTTGAGACACGTTCTCCCTCTGTCACCCAGGCTAGAGTGCAGTGGTGCAATCTCACCTCACTGCAACTTCCACCCCTCCCCAGCTCAAGTGATCCTTCCACCTCAGCCCCCTGAGTACACCAGGTGTACACCACCACACCTGGCTATTTTTTTGTACTTTTTGTAGAGACAGGGTCTTGCCATGTTGCTCAGGCTGGTCTCAAACTCCTGAGCTCAAGCGATTCGCCCACCTTGGCCTCCCAAAGTGCTGGTATTACAGGTGTGAGCCACCACATCCAGCCCTACGCTACCTTCTTGAAGGCAGAGTATCTACATAAATTATTTGGAATCCTGCATGAGAGATTCGTTAGTCACTTTTTTAGACTTAACTTTGCTTGGCTCATAATGTGCAATACAATAACATTTGGTAGAAACCATCTGCTCTTCCCACCAATGCTGAAAACAAGCTGCACGTGGTTTGCCGGAGTGAGGTGCAGGCAGCTCGTTCTGCCGGCTGGCTGCTGTGGCACCCCTTCCCAAAGCGTCTGCCTGCCTCACCAGCTTCCTTCCAGGACTGCGAGTGCCTAGAAAGTGGAGACCTCATTCTATTCATCTTCATAGTCAAGTTCTTGTGGGAGGGCCTGGTTTGTAAAAGCTTCCCAGGATGGAATTCATCACATCAGTGGCAAGTCCACCAAGCCCTCGTGTTGCTAGCAGTTAAGTAACACTAGTTGCACTTTTGCTAACGCAGACCAGATCTCTGTCTGCCGTTCTGCCGCCCCAGGGCAAGTCTCCCTCGCATTCTTGTTTTTTTGTTTTGTTTTGTTTTGAGACGGAGTTTCGGAGTTTCGCTCTTTCGCCCAGGCTGGGGAGTGCAGTGGCATGAACTCGGCTCACTGCAACCTCCGCCTCCCTGGTTCAAGTGATTGTCCTGCCTCAGCCTCCCGAGTAGCTGGGATTACAGGCATGTGCCACCACGCCTGGCTAATTTTTGTACTTTTAGTAGAGATGGGGTTTCACCATGTTGGCCAGGCTGGTATTGAACTCCTGACCTCAGGTGATCCACCCACCTTGGCCTCCCAAGGTGCTGGATTACAGGCGTGAGCCACCGCGCCCAAACTCCCTTGCATTCTTTCTGGAACTGTAGTCCTAGGGTCAGTCCTGCTGAGCCCTCCTCAAGGCCCCTTGCCCTCTCTTTTTCTAAAACTCTGAGCAATATTTGACTAACCAGAGGCAGCTGTACTTGCCAAGGGACATGCTCCACTCATGCAGGTGTGACTTTTCTTGGGAAATAGGGGGCACCAGAATGAAAAACAGTCATTCATAATCCATGTCCAAAGAAAGCAAAATAGGAGAGTGGAAGACAGATCAGGAGCCATATCTGAGTGCATTTCTGGGGTCAACTGGAAAAGGAGACTTTGGAAAGATTGAAACTCTTTTTTTTTTTTTTTTACAGAGTCTTGCTCTGTCCCCCAGGTTGGAGTGCAGTGGTGCGACCTTGGCTTCCTACAACCTCCATCTCCAAGGTTCAAGCAATTCTCATGCCTCAGCCTCCTACAGAGCTGGAACTACAGATGCCCGCCATCATGCTCAGCTTATTTTTGTATTTTTAGTAAAGAAGGGGTTTCACCATGTTGGCCAGGCTGGTCTCGAACTTCTGGCCTCCAGTGATTCACCTGCCTCGGCCTCCCAAAGTGCTGGGATTACAGGTTTGAGCCACCACACCCGACCCCCCGCCTTTTTTTTAAAATTTTAAATATTTTATTTATTTTTTGAGACAGAGTCTCACTCTGTCCCTCAGGCTGGAGTGCAGTGGTACAATCACTGCAGCCTCGACCGCCTAGCTCAATTGATCTTCCCACCTCAGCCTCCCGAGTAGCCAGGACCACAGGTGCATGCCACCATGCTCAGCTAATTTTTGTATCTTTAGTAGAGACAGGGTTTCACCATCTTTTCCGGGCTGGTCCCAAATTCCTGGGTTCAAGTGATCCTCCTCTGGCCCCCCAAAATGCTAGGATTACAGGCGTGAGCCACCGCGCCTGGCCAGA